CGTGGAAAGGGCTGGCTGTAAAAATCAAACCCAGAATGGACAGTGAGAAAAGCCCCAGGAGGTAGCCAGGGTCGGGTGCTCATCAGAGACGAGTCAGTGCCTTTTGTCAAGGCTGAAGTTTCCCATAACAATCTCCTATCTTTTATTTTTATTGTTTTAGTTATAGATAGATGCAATATTTTAATTTTGTTTATTTATTTTTATGAGGTGCTGAGAATCGAATCCAGTGCGTCGCATGTGCACTTGTGCAAGGCAAGCGCTCTGCCACAGCCCCAATCTCCATCTTTATGATCAGAGTGAAAATCCTGACTAGAGCAGGGTGGTGCCGGGAACAGCATGGCCACGTGCTCCCCAAGGCCTGAGCACCTGTGGCGAGAGGTGCAGCTTGAGCCCCCACCGGGTGAGGTTTGAGAGGGAACTGTGACACCAGCCGGGTATTCAGGAACCAGAGGTGCTGCCTCTATGGCCAAATCACCAAACATGCCGGGGGTCGTGCAGGGGGGCGGTGCAGAGAAGTGAGAGCTGAGGGGCAAGAGGGGAGGGGAGACTGGCAGAGGAGGCAGGGCCAAGGCTGTGGGGAGTTGTCTTTGTCCCCCCAGGGCAGCAGAACACTCCACAGGCTGGTGGCTCCTGAACAACAGAAACCGAATTCTCAGGGTTCTGGAGGCGGGGAGCCCAGGATCAAGGTGCCAGCAGATTCGGATCTGCCGAAGGTCCATGTTCTCACATCTAGCATCTCCTCACTGTGTCCTCGTGTGGGAGAAAGGTGAGGGAGCTGGAGCTCTTTGGAGTCCCTTTTACATGGCACTAGTCCCATCTATGAAGGTATCGTTTGTGACCCAATCAGCTTCCAAGGCCCCACCTTCTGACACCAACACACTGGGGCTGGGGGCCACACAGGATAGGAGGTGTCAAGATAAAAGTGGAGGCACTGCATCAACCCTAAAAAATAAATAAATAAAACCGGGAGTCCTGAAGGAGGGGCTGTCACACAGCATCCAAAAGACAGAATCAGCCTGGCACACAGACACCTCTGCACCGGGACCTCCCTACAGCTCCTCTTCAGGCGGGACTGGGACCACCCTGCTCACTGCTCCTCTAGCCCAGGACTGCCATTTCAAACATCATAAGAGGGCCTCTTCCTTCTGCCTTGAAAAACTCCCCTGGCTCCTCCTCCCTCGAACAAACGTGATTTCTCTAGCCCATGGGCTTCACTGCAGGATTCTGCCACTCCTAAGGACGCCTCTCTCTATCCAGCCAGCCATCTAGCTATATATTTTTAACCTCGGATTGAACCCAGGGCACTTAACCACTGATCCCTACCCCCAGCCTTTTGTATTTTATTTTGCAGAGTTGCTTGGGGCCTCGCTAAGTTGCTGAGGCTGGTTTTGAACTCATGATCCTCTTGCCTCAGCCTCCTGAGCCACTGGGATATAGGCATGTGCCACCGTGCCTGGCAACAAATCTGTATTCTATGGAGAAAGTCCATGCTTGCTATTTAGGGTGATACAGACATTCAGATGGTGGCAAGGTGGGAACAACTGTGGGGGAGGCCGTGCAGACAGAGCCAAGATTAGCTCAGATTTGTACTTTGCCAATATGTCCAGTCCACCATGCAGAGACTGGCAGGTGCCTTGAGAGCACTTGGGAATCACTTCCCACTGTCCCAAGCTGCAACAACAGGTTCATCCAGGGACTGGGGTTGTGGCTCAGTGGTAACATGCTTGCCTGGCATGCGTGAGGTGCTGGGTTTGATTCTCGGCACCATCAACAACTTTAAAAAATATTTTAAAAAACCATTGGGGGGGCTGGGAATGTGGCTCAGGCGGTAGCGCGCTCGCCTGGCATGCCTGCGGCCCGGGTTCGATCCTCAGCACCACATACCAACAAAGATGTTGTGTCTGCCGAGAACTAAAAAATAAATATTAAAAAATTCTCTCTCCCCTCTCTCACTCTCTATTTAAAAAAAGAAATGATGATAATTTAAAAAACCATTGGGTTCATCCCACAGCAGGATTACCTGCTATGTAAAGCATGCAATTGTTTACTTCATAATGAGGCATCTTCACAGGATGAAGTACCTGCCCCATGGAATGTTCTGGAATACCATGACAGGGAAAAGCCTTCAAGGGAAACCTCATAATTTCTTTCTGAGAATCGCATGACTGTTCCACCATGGGCTACATCCCTTATCTATTTTGAGGCGGAGGTCTCACTAAGTTGCTGAGGCTGACCTTGAACTTGTGATCCTTTTGCCTCAGCCTCCCAAATTGCTGGGATTACAGGTGTATGCCACCATAGCTGTTTTTTTTTTTGGGGGGGGGGTGGAGTGTTTTTTTTTCCCCCAGTAAGATGACCTGGAGTTCAGTGTGGTGGCACACCTACAACCTCAGCAGTTTAGGAGGTGGAGGCAGGAGGATCATGAGTTCAAAGCCAGCCTCAACAAAAGTGAGATGTGAAGCAACTCAGTGAGATGCTATCTCTAAATAAAATATAAAATAAGGCTGGGGATATGGCTCAGTCCCTGGTACACTCACCTCCAATAAAAAAGAAGACCTGGTATTGCCAAGACTTGGGTCTTCATCAGAGAAGATGTGCTGGCCTTATATTATTTAGAGAAAATGTCAAATATATGCAAAAGAGAGGACAGTGTGGTAAAGCCCCAATACAAATCTCTACAGAAATCAATATCTTGCCCTGCTCATCTCCCCACAATCTTAGCATTTTTCTAGACTCTTTCAGAAAATATCCCAGGTATATCAGTTCACTTGAAAATACTTTAGCTTGATATGTTTCTCTACTGTAAGAAAGACTTTTTTTTTAAGCATAATCACTACCATCAGCATACCTAACAAAATTAACCATAATTCCTCAATATCTTCTAATGTACTTTTTTTTTTTTTTTGGCAGTAGAAATTGAACCCAGGGTGGCCTAACCACTGAACCACATCCCCAGTACCCCCTTTAAATTTTTTTTTTTAGTTGTACGTGGACACAACATCTTTTTATGTATTTATTTTTATGTGGTGCTGAGAATCGAACCCAGTGCTTCACATGTGGGAAGCAAATGCTCTACCACTGAGCTACGGTCCCTGTCCCAGCCCCATCCCCAGCACTTTTTTAAAAATTTGAGTCAAGGTGTCTCTGAGTTGCTGAGGCTGGCCTTGATCCTCTTGCCTCAGCCTCTTGAGTTGCTGGGATTACAGGTGTGTGCCATAGCACCTGGCCCCAATCATCTTTAAAAGAAGTCTTTTTACAGATTGGTCAAACGTGGAGCCACAGGCCACACACAGAGCTGGGTTCATATTAGGGCTGTCAGATGGCAAGACCAACTATGCTTCAATACAACTACGATTTTAAGAATTCCTCACAGAGGCTGACATTTAATCCCACCTGTGATCAGATGACAAAGCCTACCACCAGGCTAAAGGTGGGATGGCTGATGCCCATTTTCTCCACAGGAGGGAACTGAGGTCACGGGAGGGAATGGCCTATACAGGGACCTCAGCAAGGGGATCCAGCACTGGAGTAAGCCTGCCTGGTCACTGTGTAGGACTCGTCCACATGTGTCCACTGAGCTTTTAGCACTTTTAAACACTATCAAAGTCCTAGCCTGGTCTCTGCTGTGCCACAGCTGATTCTAAATCTCCTACCCAACCTCAGGGGCATGGCTTACCCACAACGTAAATGGTGCACCTGTCTGCCCCTTTGTGATCTGTCAGCTGCAGGATGAAGTCCAGACTCCTGCAAGAGGCATCAAGGCCTCTCATGGGCTGACCCTTGCCATCTCTCTGTTCCCATCTCTCTCTCTCTCCTCAGCTAAGTCAAGCTAGGACTCCAAGGATGGGATTCCGAGACATGAACTGGTGACTGCGGGAACGGTGTTCCCATTTGGTTTCAGGGGTACTAATGGTGGAGTCCCCACCCTGTGAGGCAGCCTCGTGTGCCAGGCATGTTGCTCCTTTCATTCATTCCTTTTAAGGTTCTGGGAATGGAGCCCAGGGCCTCCTACATTCCAAGCTCTCCCACTGAGCCAAACCCCAGCTCACATTACTCCTTTTAGTCTCGGAAGTCAAACTTTTGCAGTTGAGGCCACTCAGTGGCCCCAGTGACTGACTTGCTGTAGGGCACAGGTGGAGTGAGGTCATAGGTGGAGATGGCCAGACCCTTTGTGCTGCCCCATAGGCCTTCCTGGCTGGCTCCCCTAGTGCTTGAGTGGGCTTGGCCCAGGAAAGAGGAGGGAGACCCTGTTTCTTGTCATCGACAGGGACTTCATGCCACACTCGGGCTCCAGTCTCAGGGAGGTTGTGCCCAACTGGGGCTTCCACTGCTTGCTTTGATCTGCGGCTGCCCCATGGAGGGTCAGATACTGCCCATGGGGAAATGCATGTCCACAACTGGTCTGCAGAGACATGAGGTGGAAACAGACCCTCACATGTCTCCTGAAGATGAACCGTGCAACTCCTCGCGCAGGAAGGCAGGCACACCCCCTTGGATATGTAAAGTCGCTTACAGTGCCCCACCCCTCCCATATCCTCCCCAGAGACACCCCATGGTCTTTGCCACCCAGCTGGTCAGGGCAGAGCTGGGGCCAGCAGGCTTCACTGTGTACAGCCAGCCAGCTGACTTCACAAGGTCCCTGCAGGGCTGCCGGGCAGGCCAGTAAGGGCCAAGGAAGGAAGACGGCTACAGAAGCTGGGAGGGGCCGCCACTTGTTTCTCAAACTCCTGCAGACCTGAGGGCTGTGCCCAGGCAGCCTAGAGAGACTGCGGTTTACCAAGGAGACTAAAGAGAAGCCATGCTGCCTTCATTACCATGGAACCAGGTGGAAGGAGCTTTCTTGGTCCAGAAGAATGAAAGTCACTACTGATCCCAGGGCTGGGGCCTAGCACAGGATAGGTCCTGGTTTCATGAACTGAAATTGCCAGACCCTATTTGCAGTGGTGACTCCGATTGACTCTCCCATGCCCAGCTTCATTCTTTTCTCATTTTTACCACCACCTCAGACCCCAGTTCACATCAACCACATCAGCAGTCTACCAGATGCTTCAACTGGAACATCATCGTGGCTGCCAGCCACCTGCCTCCACCCTGCTCCTGGGCCCAGAGCACCAGCCCACCCAGTCAGGAACTTGCTGGCCTTGCTAATGCCAAAAAAAAGCCACTCCATTCTTCAAATGGGGGCGTAAAACCGCTGCCTGCCTTTTTAATATTACTGGAAGTCAACATCTGTAGCACACCTGATGGGTGCACAGTTGGATTGGGGGCTTCTCCTCTGATGTCCAAATGAGGACTTTACATACCCAGGTGGGAGGAGTGTCAGGCAGCCTGGGGCACATCCTCTCTCTCTCCACAAATACTGGACATTCCACGCCAGGCCTGATGCCACACCCTCCTGGGACACCTCCGAGAATTCTCCCTTCTGCCTCCATGGGAAGCAACCCAGCTCTCACAGGTGGGGAGCCCAAGGCCCAGGAGGCTTCTCTTTCCTCTTCTCTTTCCTCACTGTTAGCAGCTTAATGTTAAAATGAAGACAACCTCGGCCCCCCAACAACTCCAACCTGCTGTCCCCGTTCCCACTTGATGCCTGTGAAAGGTCAAGGCAAAGAAGCAGTCGGAAAACTAGGCTTTCTGCCCAGCAGCCCTGTCCAGACAGCCTGCCATCTGTCCACATGGGATGCCACTCAGGCCTGGCAAGAAGTAGGACCTGTTTGCAAGCAGAGGGACCTCCCTGGGCCCGCGTCCCTCCAGGTCCTCCCCAGCCTGGGAAGAGGAGGTAGAAGGTAAGTGAGCCTGGGGAAGCAGGGGAGGAGGAACACACAGAGCCCCTGAAAGGAGGCCAGGCTCACTTTGGGCAGCAGGGCTGCCAGGCAAGCTTAGGCTACCAGAGGTGGGACACCAAGAGCAGCAGGCATGAGTGACCAGCGCAGGTGTGAAGGGCTGGAGTCAGCCTCACAGTGCAGTGCTGCTGCCAAGATCCAGGGTCTGTCACAAAAGACTTTGTCACCCAGGCAGGGTCCTGACCTTTCTGCGCAACCTCCCCATCTGTGGCCTGGGGAGAGAGCGGCACACAGCACCAGAGCATCAGGCAGCCTCCAGGGGTCGCGGAGGAGTGCTGTTCCAGTTATCGTGGGTCTGCAGGGCAGTTTGTGGGAGGACATGGTGGTTATGTCTGACATTCTGACCACCAGGAACTGGATCCTGAGAAAAGCCACAGAGGGTGCCCTCAGGCCCCTGACAAGAGGCCAGCCACTCATTGCTTAGGGGCAGAGCCCAAAGACGTGTGAGAACCAGTGAGGCCCCACTGAGCGCAGGACGTCCTTGGCTTGAGTCTGGGTTTGACAGAGGGCCCAGGTCCTCACAGGACTATTCCTTCTTCAGTAAGGGAGGACGCTCCTGGCTCTGGCATGAAGCTGGCCAGCACTGGGCATCTTATGCTGTCTTGCTCAGGTTCCCAGCCTGTGGTCCCAAGGAGGACAGGCCTGTGTCCAGGCAGATCCATAGCAGCGTTCTTAGCTCCACAGCTGGTTCAATCCCCTAACCAGATGTGGGGGTCACTGTGGGGACCTTCACTTGGGGCTCTGATGAATCCACAGCAGCCTCCAGCTCACCACCACTGGTGAGTGATCTGGGCCAGTCCCTTGGACTCCCGGCCACAGCGATGGGTACCCTAGGTGTGCCGGGGAGGACCCAACATGGTGCACATGCAGGTGGGTCAGTGAGCAGGCTGGAGAACACAGGAGCTCCCAGAGTCCAGTGCTGTCCTGTGTCCCCTGCCCCAGGACTCGGGCACCAGGCCTTCCCAGGCCCTGGGATAGAGGCCCAGCTGGTGCAGAGGGCCCTTCCCACGGTGCCTTCCCAGGTGGCAACGAAGGGGAAGAGCAGCCCCTACACACATTGACCCAGGATCCTGGCCTTGGTCTACTCTTGAGGACCAGCAGACAGATGGCCCTCGGCTTTGATAGTGGCCTCATCTAAGCCTTGAGACTATCTAAAAGGGGACCCTATCCCCATCTGTAACAGGGCCTAAGGGTGACAGGCCAAAGGGTGGGGCCTATTCTGTCCCCCTCCAACAGGCCTCTCGGACTCCTGGGGCCCCTAGTGGTCCCTGGGTGTAATGTGAGGAGCAAGACCGCATCATTGTCTCCCTGACAGGGATGGTGGTCTGCAGGCCCTTGGCTCAGCTCTGATGGACACTTGGTTCTGTTGTTGCCCTTGGTTCCCGCCTTCGTGGCTCCCATGGGATCCAGGGACTGCAGAAGCTGGTTTGCCATCTCAAAAGGCTGATGTGACTTCCCTTCAAGGTGAGAGGGTGACATGACTGTGGTGAATACCTAGACAGCACAGTGGTCCATGGCCTCTGTGGGGCCTGGGGCCACAGGCCAGGCAAGTGCCCTCCGAGGGTGCTGCTGACCAGTGGAGGGAGGATGGGAGGTGCAACCTGAGCATCCAATGGAGTCTAGAATCACGGGCCCAACAGCTCATGGTGCCTCGGTTTACCCACCTGTGCAGGGGCAACTCTACCTGTCTCACAGGGTTGGCCAACACCACAGAGTGCATGGAAGACTCCGGGCACTCAGGGGCCCCCAGCTCACATCAGCTGATGCTGTGAGCACCATCTGATGTTAGGCGGTGGTAACATTACCGTCATTGCTAGCCTGACAATGTGAAGCAACTGTCCCTGGAAATGCTGTAATCACCCACACCAGTGGCTACGGCTGCAGAGGCTCTGAGGCAACAGTGCCAGGCTGAGAGGTCACCTGACCAGCTGCCTGGAAGAGAAGCTGGGGGCTGGGCTTCCTCTCTGTTCTGGGTTTGGTGCAGGCACAGGCCTCCTGGGCAGTGCCATGGCCACTCACTGCATGTGCCTTGAAACCATGGTGACAGACAGCAGCGTCAGCTGCAACAGCAGTGGCCTGAGTTCTTTGGGTGATAGAGGTAAAGAAAGGCCTTTCCTAATTCTACAGTTCTATGATATCAGAATTCCTGGGGACGGGAACAGGTCAGAGCCTGGGTGATAGGCCACCTCGGCACTGGCCCCTCTCCTGCAGGCACAGGCATCTGGGAAGCACTATGTAGACACCGTGCCAGAACCCCAGCGGGTAGGGGCAACAGTGCACACAGCCACTCGGGGAACCACGGCAAGCCACCAGGAAGGCACTGCTCCACCTCGGGCACACCTCCTGTGGGCAGCCCAGCATACCCGTGAGGAGGGCGGTGCAGCCTGCTCCAGCATGGCCTTGGGGGACTCCGGGGAGGGTATCTCTGCCCCTGGTGCTCCACAAGGCACTGCTGATGTTTGATGAGGCCACTACTAGCTGCTTCACAGGCAGACACAGAAGCTGGGACCTACATGAAAGAACCTTTGAGATGATAAATAAAGACAACGCACTCTTTTTAAAACTTTTTATTTGGTGTTAACTCCACAAGAAAACAAAACAAACAAACAAAAAAAATCAGTTACTCTGGTGTACGTGAAATCAGAACAATACAACCACGGGAAAAAAATCTCAGCCCAGGAATGGAAACTGGTACTTCAGTGCCATGGAGATGCAACGCGCTTCATACCACAGTGCGCTTCAGCGTTTGCCAACTTTATTTTTTTAATGCTTTTTGTGATCATCCATTCACAAAACTAAAAACCACACTTTCAACTCTGTTGCTGAAAGCCTCTGAGTTTTAGTCACTTAACTATTAAAACAAATAAATACAGAATTTGTTAATCCCTTGGCCCATCTATTATCCGTCCCCATTCCCTGTGGAAGGTGCTCCACCGTCCCAGGCCTGAGGAGGTCGGCACTCTGCCACCTGGAGCCCTTTCCTGATGAACAGCAGCTGTCCAAAACCAACTAAGCTCAAGGTTGTGTCTGAAATCTACTTATTTGGTCTCTGCTACGTAAGCAACGATTTCTAAGATCATCGTTGCCGCAGTGATTTTAGGAATTTTACAACTTCCAATCCTTTTATGCTGTTGCTGTTAAATTATATTTCAGTGCAGATGCTAATAAATTTTTAGGAAGCTCCAGAAAAAAAGAAAAATACATAAAAACTTATCTGATGTCTGTAAATAAATAATAGCAACATAAAACCTCACACATGCACACACGCACACACAAACCCACTGTAAAGTGTCAAAAGATGTGCTGTATAAAGACAAACCCCCACGACGGCGAGATGGCACCAGAGGATCACATCAGGCCTCTCATGGTGAGGACACACGGAGCCTCAGCGACTCCACAGCCTTCCACGGTGTTTCTGTTATTGGGAAAAAGGCGATAAACTCACATGCTCAAAGCAAGTCAGGTACTTCACAGGCAGCTCAGCTCCTAGCTAATCAGGTGCGTCTGCTGCCTGAAGCAAGTGGTGAAGCTGTCTCGGCCACGTCGGGCATCACCGCCATTCCCGATATCACAGATGCTAAACTGACTTCACAGATTAGGTGTTTTTAAAATGATGCACTGATTAAAAGAGAAAAACAACCTAAAACGTCCAGGCTTTGCAGATAGTGCTCCTCCTGGCTTCAAACTGTTGTGGTGTTGGGAGAGCTCGAGGAGGCGTCTGCACGCACAAGTTCGACCTGCACGAGGTGCACCGACTCCCAGACTCACCAAGGTGCTGCAAAGCAGGTCACATGAGGGGCCACATGGGCATGTGGGAAAACTACTCTACCCACCCAACCCACCGCACACACAACTCATCCAGAACCTTCTCTCCAACACAAGATGATATAAGAAGCTACATTCCATCACAGCCACAAGAGCAGCTAGCTGCAGCAGCCAAAGATTTCTTTGGGGTGATAAGGTGGCCTTTATCTCATGTCAAATGTTTATAACTTCAAGTTTTGGGGGCTTTAATTTAATGTAGTCACCAGAAAATAAAATGTGCAACCAAGGTCCTCACTGTGTGCTGTCAGACTCACCACGAAGAGCCCTGACGGCGTTCTGGTGTCCACGCACTGCAACACCAGCTCGGGGCAGGCAGGGTGGGTGTCTCACCCCACTCTGCCTCATTTACCACCCCACGGCCCAAGTCCTTAGCATCTTCAGTTAGCAAAAAAGTCACAAACCACA